ACTCTGACTCAGTCACACATGGTGCACCAGGTCCTTCAGCGCTTCGGCTTCACGTGGTCCTCGCCACAGCCCACTCCTCTGTCTACCGGCCACTCGCTCTCAGCTCCACCTTCGGACGAGTCCGTAGAGCCGAGTGGTCCGTACCCAGAGCTTGTGGGTTGCCTCATGTACCTGATGACGTGCACACGACCTGACCTCACGTACCCTCTCAGCTACGTGGCACCCGGTAGACACCAAAAGGTGCACTTTGATGCTGCGAAGAGGGTACTGCGTTACTTGTGCAGTACATCGGGCATGGGGCTCGTGCTTGGAGGACGGGGTTCAGTGGCCCTCACAGAACACTCTGATGCTTCTTGGGCCGATGACCAAATAACTCAGCGTTCGTCACAGGGTTACACCTTCAGTCTTGGCTCTGGTTCTGTCTCGTGGAGGTCCACTCGTTCTTCTTCTGTGCTTGGCTCCAGCTGCGAGGCCGAGATCTACGCATGGCTGCACAGGAGCTACGCTGGGTGACCTACTTGCTGACCGACTTGGGGGAGCGGCCTCGTTCTCCTCCAGTTCTGTACGTAGACAACAAGGCAATGCTTGCCTTGTGTCACGAGCAGAGACTGGAGCACCGAACGAAGCACATTGCTCTTTGCTACTTCCTTGCGCGTGAGCTGCAGCAGCGTGGTCAGCTGCGCCTTGCTTACGTGGCCTCTCGGGCCAACACTGCTGAAGTGTTCACCAAGGCCCTTGGGTCTGGTGATCATCAGCGTTTCTGCACTGCTCTTGGGCTTGTGCCCACTCTGCCTCACCTGCTGGTTGCTTGACTTGCTCTTGTTGTACACTGATATATATCTTTATACCTGCTTGTTTACTCTTGCTATGTTGTGATCAGTATACTGCCTTGCTATTATATCTTTGCATGTGAACTGGCCTTGTGGCCGCTTGCTTGTGCTCAGAATGCGTGGTGATCTTGAGATCCACCCTTAGCTTTGCTTTGCTTTGTTCTCTTGCTTGACTGGTCTTGTGACCGTCCGTTGTGTTTGCTATCCCCCACTTTGCCTATGGGGGTGTGTCAAATTACATTTCTATGACTGTAGGCTGTAGTGGGGTAGCTTACATAGAGTACAACCCTTCTAGGGTTTCACTACTTGTACTGGTCATTCCTTCTACTGAACTCTTCTGCACAGTGATTCTGACAGTACACATTGAATGGTTTACAAGAGTAGGCAGAAATTATGTCTCTTACCTCAGAACTCTCTCTTCCAAACTTCGGATGGTCTTGATATAGGACTTTCATTCCGTTATCATGATACTTCTTACAATTATCCAAAGAGATAGCTGAAGGGTCCGACGCATTTGGTGGTTCCTGAATGGACAAAAATTGTATTGAGTTAACCACCATCCAAATGACCCTACCAAAAGATCCCCGGAGTACGGAAAATGAGCGACTACCTACTACCATGACTAGCGTCCTACCGAGGTCGGGGACTGCCGTGACGGTGCTGGCGTTGTGCTGCACGTCGTTGTTGGAGATACTGATATTTTGCTAAAAGATTCAAGTTCTTGCTTCTTCTGCTGTTGTATCGTCGACATGTTCTCCTTGTCCTGCAGGTCAGCACTCTTGACACGTTCAGCGACAGATCCACCAGAATTTCCACAAGAATCTCCATTTTCCTTGATCTAATCTTAGCAGCTAAGAGCCACTCATTGTACCAGTCAAACTGAATGTGGAATCTGATATGTTCACTCATGGACTTCTGAGCTGAGGTATGAAGCATTTATGCTAAAAGTAGTTTGGCGGGATTGCCTGGTTGACGCAGATGCGCTTTCCCTGGTTACCTTGGAAATTATCCGGATGTCAGATCATGGGAATGTCAGTCTCCTTCCTTCCCTGGTTGGTTGTTTTTAGGCCGGAGGCAGTTTCAAGGAGCGGGGAGATGTTTGAAATGCGCAGGAAATTCTCGCATGTGTCAGGGTGGATCATCCTCAGCCACAGCTCAGGTCAATTCTGGTCATGGTAATTGTGAACCATGATGGCCATTGGCCAGCGAGCAACTGAATGCGAAAACCGTTGATGATAGAAACGCCCTACAGTATCTATGATGCGAAATCGAATCCCCTCTGGCAAAACAGAGCACTTCTCCCCGAATGGGAGAAGGGAAGGATAATTGTGAAAGCAGCTGAACCGAACTTGTCTTTGGTTCGGAACCAGCAGGCCATATGTCCATCTGGCTTGGAATGGAACCCCAAATTGTCGCTGGTTTGCCGGTCTTGATTCTCTACTCGATAACAGATATAGCAAACCATGCATTATTGCAACATACATGCTTAGAAGAAATACTATCACCCCGCTAAGGCTGGGAAGGGAACCATGCATTGTTATCTTGGTTGCTTGGAATCACTCCCAAGGAGAAACACTACCCGAAGTGAGGGGAGAATCCGTGCTCGGAAGCAATTAGGAGGACGTCATTAGCACATGGGCATTGCGTCACGGCGCCAAGCAATGATACGCCTGAAGACTTGCCGCGTCGTCGTATAGATGGCAAGCCATGCCTTCGGATCGCCCTCCGCACGTCGTCGCGTGATAGCGGTCGCTCGCAGCGAGAGACTCGGCGACTCTTTCAGCATAACATCTCTTCGCGAACAACTCGCACCTTCGCCAGCAGCAGCTCTCGCATCGTCGCACGGATCGCCATCCACGGATTTGTCGCGCGCTAACAATTCCCCAGATACGCCTTCGCGCTGCCATTCCAGCGCGACCCATCCTCCCCCGCCTTCATTCTTCCCCAGCGCGTCTCACCATAACCATCCCAGCGATTCCGGTAGTCCCGCGTTGATCCGATCAATTGCCATTCGCTCGTCACCGCAACCTGCGCCGTCTAGCAGCGGTCATCATCATTACTACAGTAGCCGCACTCTTGTTCCTTGGCATAGTCATGTATCCGTGTTCCCCGCTTCGTCCTCTCTGCTTTCCCGGCTTCTTCACTCTTATCCAGCCGTCGCGGCCGTTGGATCGGAGCCGCCAGTTGCCGGGGAGAGATCTGGACCGTCGGGCGAGAGAGCGGATGGCGGGGAGGAGAGTGCGGGGGATGTGCGTGTGAGCTATGGCACGATGTTGGCGGAAGCAGAGGATGAGGAGGGAGAAGGAAGAGGGAATTTCGATGACGGGAGGGAGGAGGGAGGGGGAAGGGTTTGGGATGAGGTTCGGGAAGAGGATCTGAAAGCTGAGGCGGGGGGAGGGGTGGCTTTAGCGGACGGGGAGAAGAAGGAATTGCGGACGAGACAGCGACAGGTTCAAATGCGGGAGGAGGCAGGCGGGGAGGGGGTTGGCAGGGGGAGGGACAGCGGAAGAAGGACGATCAAGAGAGGAAAGCCTTGGCAACACCGAGCAGGGCAGTCGTACCAATGAGGCTGTAATTACCGCGAAGGGTGTTAGTAACGCGGAGGCCAATAACGGGACAACAGTGGCGGTAACGCTGACGAGGACGACATGACCGGGTACGGCGTGGCGTCTGAGGAGGACCTGCGCAACGCGAAGCAGATCGCGGACGCGATTCTCAGCGGGCGGTTCTTCGCGGGGATGAGCCGCGGGAAACGGCACTGGGCGGGGGACGACGCGGGGGAGAGCGGGAACGCTGGGGGTAGCTGGCAGGAGTCCTCTTTGCCCTATTCCCCCATGTCCCTAGGACCTGTAGGGGCCCCTTCCACGGAGTGGAGAGGTGGCGGAGCAGGGCGGCACGATTGTCGCGGTGATGCACAGGTCGTACGAAAGGGAGGCAATATCTGTCGTCGCAGCAATCGCAGACAGCGGACGCATCCCCCGAGGAGGGAGGGGGAGAGCGAGGAGGGGGAGGGGGAGGGGAAGGGGGGAGAGAGGGTGAGGTGGAGCGCCTGACGTCACTGTGCGGGTTACCATTGCAAAGATGGGGGGATAGCCGAAGCTGGAGATTGACTAGCTGTAGGACGGTAGGTAACAGTTGGCTCGTTGGGGACTGCGTCTTGACTGGAGGACCCCCGCGTGTCTGCATTTCCTAAAAACATGCCTGATAGACGCAAACAGGGAAACGGGGATTCGATGTGGCGAACATGGTAGACGAGCTGATAAACGAAGCGAAATGACATTTTCGCCAACATATCGTTGATATTGTCGACGAATTTGAAGTATTCTCGCCTTAAATGGAGGGATAGTCACTTGGCGCATTCGTGCACTGCATGTTACGGCACCGTGCTCGTCATGTATATTCGAGTCACCTAAATCAAAATAAAAAGCAGCAATCACAAAGAGACGGGGAGAACGACGACAGGCAATGACGGTGTGTGACGTGACGAGAAGTCACAGACCAGAGTACGGTAATTACCGGAAAGCTGGATCTTGGTTGGACGATATGGAAGTATCGAACGCGGATTTGCTGGTGCCATGGATTTTGTCTTGGAAGAAAACGAATGCAGTGGCGGGATGATTTGTTGATGGCCTGGCTCTAGCTGCTTCAAAGAACAGGTTTAGAATGTTTCAGAAATTCAGAGTTATAACGGAGTCTTGAAGAAGTTATATCCATAATTTGTTCCAACACAATAAAGAACAAAGGTAACCTGTCAATTTCAATCTACGGTACATTCATAAGAGCGAGCTGAAAATGGCGCCTCTTGGCGAAACGGGGAAAATTCGCCTGTTACAGCTAATTGTGGTGCCTTATTCAGCTAATCTCTTCACATGAGACCGTGCCATCCTGATTACGGTGCCTAATTCAACTAATTGCGGTCCACTCTCACTTGCAAAATGAGATGAACTGGACCGCCAAGGATGTTCTGAAGCTGATACCGTGCCTCTCTGCCAATGGAACTGAATCACCAACACAACAGGAAAGAGCAGCAGATCAAACGCACACACAAAAATGCAGCACAAGGCAAGATAGACGGACAAGCTACACCAACGAAGCTGAAATCTCACATACAACGATAGCATGAATGAACACACCACATCATGCCCACACCACACCTCACAAGAGTGGGACTTACCGCACGTCCTGACCTGCCTTGCCAACGAGCATGGCCCTCTGTGCATTAGACTGCACAAGCAGCAGCTTAGCTGCTCTATGCGCAGACCCGTCCCTGAGCACAGAGCACGACCACACCATAACACAGCAGGACTCACCGCACGACCTGTCCTGCCTTGCCAACGAGCATGGCTCTCTGTGCATTGGACTGCACGAGCAGCAGCTGCTCTATGCGCAGCGACCCATCCCTGAGCACAGAGCACGACTCGTGGCGGTGCTCTATGGCGTATGGCACCTCCTGTGGGGATGAGAGAGGGAGGGAAGGAGGAAGAGAGAGAGAGAGAGAGAGAGAGAGAGAGAGAGAGAGAGAGAGAGAGAGAGAGAGAGAGAGAGAGAGAGAGAGGAGAGCATGGAGAGCAAGGGTAGATAAGGAGTGCTTGGGGACGTCTCAGGCGATGAGATGCCTCACACACACCCCACTGTGTGTAACGAGCGAGCAAGCAAGCAAGCCACCCACCTGGTGCATGTGGTGCAGCAGCAGTTCCCTCACGATCTGCATGGCCAGCTGTGCAAACACCCACCTCACATACGCTCCACAGCCTGTAATGAGCAAGCGAGTGAGCAAGCAAGCCACGCACAGCCCAGCCCACCTGGTGCATGCGGTGCAGCAGCAGCTCGCGCACGATCTGCATGGCCAGCTGCTCAGGCGACTGGTCCGTGCGCAGACGAGGGTCCTCCTCCCATGCCGCCTGCACCGCCTGGTGTGTGTGTGACAGGAGGATGGGTATTGACCGGGGTGTGTGGGAGGGAGGGAGAGAGAAAGCGAGATGGCACATATTGGAACAACATGACGGATGCAGGATGGAAGGGGGCGTGACTTAACGTGGTGCCACTTTTGAGAAATCTCAAAAACAGGAGGGGATGCTTGTGCACGTAACACGAGTAGACATCGGGTGCAAACGAGAAAACAACAACGAGAGGTGGAAGGGAGAGTGGACAATTAGCCTCGTGGCATAAGCTCCAACCCAAGGCATGGCCCGACTTTATGGAATAGTAGCATGGCATGTGAGAGGTGAGGGCAGGGCATGCTTTTTGAGAATTCTTGAGAAGCACGCACATGGTCAAAGAGATACTCCTCCAGCAGGTTCACGCCCTTGTCCTGCAGCGCTGATACCATGAACACCCTGCACGCAGGGGCGGGGTGGGGTGGGGTGGGGTGGGGTGACGATGGGTGAGGGCATGGACGGCAGTATGGGGCTGAGAGTACCCAGGGCGTAAGCATGGTGAAGGCAGTGCTAGAATCTACCAGAATCGAATACAGGGTGGTTCAGCACTGCTATGCACTCAGCCTGGACCGTCAACCTTGGACCCTCATACATCTCAAACGGCCACTCCTACACCACCCTCAACCCCCCATTCCCCCACTCCACCACCTCCCCCCATGCACCCAGCTCCCCCACCCCACCCAATCCCCTCCCACCTCTCCCCTCCACTCCCCCCACCTCTCAATGGAGTGGAAGGAGCTGAGCTCCTGTGCGAGCGGCAGCAGCAGGCGCTTGTCCTTCACCAGATCCACCTTGTTCAGCACCGCTACGCGCTGCTGCCCCTCCCTCCGCTCCGCCCCCACCACCCCCACCATCCTCCGCACCCGCGGGTCCGGCCTGCAGGGGTGGAGTGCGGTGGGAAGGGATGGGGTTGTATGAGATGGGTTTGTGAGATGGAGTGAATTAGTGGGATGATTGGTTTGGATTGAGATGGGGTGGAGAGAGAGAGGGAACATCCTGGGATAAGGTGGTACCCTCTCTTTTCCAGGAGCAGGTGGGGGAAGTCTTGGTCCTGGACGAGAGGGAAGGACTGTGAGTGAGGAACAAGGGGAGAACAAGAGCAACCAAGACAGGGGGATGACAGACAAACAAAGCCCCACGGCCAATGCTTCAGCTACAGCCCTTCTCACCACACCCTACCACCACAAGCACCCTCGTACCTCCGGATCTGCCGGTCGGCATCAATGACGAGCGCCACCACATGGCAATGCAGGGCAGCGGACGAGGCGAGCAGCGACCCCTGGCGCTGCGATGCTGACAGGGGCTGCGATGGTAGCGCCACTATCAGCCCTGGCGTATCGTGAAACACCTAGAGGTCGGGAAGAAGGGGAGAGGGAGGGGGTTAGCGGGGGAAGGAAGGGAGGAGGCTGAAGAGGAGGGACCCCTAAGTGGGTTGCGCTCACCAGTTTTTCAACCGTCAGGCGCATCAACCGTCAAAGCTCACCAGCTGTGTGGGGCGTGCGCTCTGCTCACCAGCAGTGTTAAGGCGTGTGAAAACTCGAAGCTCACCAGCTGCGTGGGCCCGGTGGTGCGGATGCCCACCACCTCCCTTTGCGTCGTGTTGGTCTTGCGCGATACCGCTGATACCTTCACGCCCACCTGCACGCACGGCAAACAGGTGAGGAGAAGGCAGGGCGGGGAGGGGAAAGGAGGTGAAAGAAAGGAGGGGAAAGGAGGGAGGCAGATGTGACAGAAGAGGGAGTGGGAAGAGGGGGACAAGTGGATGAGAGGGAGATCCCAAATGTGAGGGAAGGAAGCGGTGAGGGGTTGAGACAGCAAAGAAGGAGTGCAATGTAGCGTGCCAAAACTCGCAACTAACTAAACCCCGCATCTGCTCTTTCTTACCCCCCTCCCCAACCTTACTCCGGTTAAACGCTTCCCCTACCGCTTCTGCTCTTCCGGCCTTCCAATCAAAGTCCCTCACCCATTCCCCCCACTCCCACCCTCTCTCACTCTTTCCTCTTGCTCACCCTCCCTCCTCACCCCTTCCCTCCCACTCTAACCCCTCTCTCTCTCTATCTCTCTCTCTCTCTCTCTCTCTCTCTCTCTCTCTCTCTCTCTCTCTCTCTCTCTCTCTCTCTCTCTCTCATTTCCCCCCACCAGTCTGTTCATCAGGGCGGACTTCCCCGCGTTGGGCGCGCCCACCAGCGCCACGCGCGCAAACCGCTGCTTCTCCACCGCCACCTGCCCCTCCGCCTCCGCCTGTCCCCCGCCCGCCTCCCCCAACCAGTCCCCCAAACCCCTGAACCCCGGCCGCCACCCCCTCTCGCGGAAACTCCTCCGCCACTCCTCTTCCTCCTCGCCGTCTCCCCCCACCTCCCCGCGCCCTTCCCCGCGCCTCTCCTTCCCTCTCCTCCCGCGTTCCCTCACTCCCCCATCCTCTCCTCCAGCGTTCCCGCTCTCCCCCACGTCGTCCCCCGCCCAGTGCTGTTTCCCGCGGCTCATCCCCGCGAAGAACCGCCCGCTGAGAATCGCGTCCGCGATCTGCTTTGCGTTGCGCAGATCCTCCTCCGACGCCACGCCGTACCCGCTCATGTCGTCACCGTCGTCCTCGTTATTGGCCTCCGCGTTACTAACGCCCTCCGCGGTAATTACAGCCTCATTGGTACGACTACCCTGCTCGGTGTTGCCAAGGCTTCCCTTTCTTGATCGTCCTTCTTCCGCCGTCCCTCCCCCTACCGCCGCCTCGCCGCCTGCCTCCTCCCGCACCCGAATCGATCGCTGTCTCGTCCGCATTTCCTGCTTCTCCCCGTCCGCTAAATCCACCCCTCCCCGCACCTCAACATTCCGATCCTCTTCTTGAACCTCATCCCAAACCCTTCCCCGTCCCTCCTCCCTTCCGTCATTGAAATTCCCTCTTCTTTCCGCCTCCTCCCCCTCTGCTTCCGTCGCGCCATAGCTCACACGCAAATCCCCAACACTCTCCTCCCCGTCAGCCGCTCTCTCGCCCGACGGTCCAGATCTCTCCCCGGCAACCGGCGGCTCCGATCCAACGGCCGCGACGGCTCGAGAAGAGTGAAGAAGCCGGGAAAGCAGAGCGGACGAAGCGGAGAGCCCGCATCCATGAACAAGCGGCGTGCAACTGTTGTGGTAATGATGATGACAGATGCTAGGAGACGCAGGCTGCGGTGACAAGCGAGTGGCGACTAATCGGATTAGTGCGGGGTTACGGTGACTACATAAATCGCAGGGATGGTTACGGTGAGACGCGCTGAGGAACGATGAAGGTGGGGGAGGATGAAACGCGCTGGAATGACGGCGCGGAGGCGTATCTGCGAAAATGTTAGGGCGCGATGAATCGGTGGCGTGCGACGATGCGAGAGGTGCAGCTGGCGAAGGTGAGAAGTGTTCGCGAAGAGATGCGAGGCGGAGTCTTCCGCTGCGAGCGACGGTTATTGCACGACGATGGCTCGCCATCTATAGAAGGGACAGAGGAGTTTGCACGGGAGGAGGAGAGGGGGAGGGAGGTGCAGGGAAAAGGAGAAAGGTAAAAAGAACAGAGGGAGAGGGGGCGTGGTCAGCACACGAACAAGACCAATTACACGGGATTGAGGAAAGAGGCAGTGATGGGAGAAAGTGAGCAGACATGGAACAGAGAAAGAGGGAGACTTGATGACAAACGTGGAAACAGGGGCTGTTGAAAAGGGGCACTGCAGATATTGCAGCAAGGCAGGAACAAATGCAGTCGATGAAGGGTGGTGAGCTGGAGAGTGCATAGGGTGTTCACGTAGAAGCGCTTCGCGGAATCCAGGCCAAACATAGGAGGAGAAAGCAGAGACAGGCAGAGATTCGCTAAAAGACTCAAGAAGAAGCACAACAACAAACGAAACGCGATAGGAACCAGAGAAGGCGGACCAGGTTGGAGGGGTACATAGAGGGGGCTGATACGCAGGGGGGGTAGCATCAATCAAACGGAGTGAGCTGAATGGGCCGAGCAGCAAGACGGTGCTAGATACAATGGTGGTGAGAGAAGGTGGTTTCGGACAAGACAATCGTAGGGTGAGAGAAAGAAGACAGCTGATTTTGAAGTATTTCGAGTTTTGATTGTAACAGATGCAAGTGCGGGGGGCCGCCGGGCCAACCCCATCTCAGCAAGCTAGCTGTTGGTGGTTGGCTTGAGAGACGACGGGGCTGGTCGGAAACCAGTGCACCATTTACCCAAATCAGATTTCGCCCCTTTTTACCTGATAATTCCTCATTCTCCTCTCAGGCTACGTCAGTCACAGGATAGGTAAGTCAAACCCTTACTCAGTGAGAGAGAGCTTAGGTATGGGACAGCATGGTGAATGTGCCAAGGAGAAGAGAAAGCAGCACGGGAAGGGCCAAGCAGGCCAACAATGCGTCGAGGGGCGACGATGTGCCTTGGCGTTGTTCTAGATTCGTAAGGCCATCCGCTAACAAAGTTACATATTGGGGCTATGATACATGTATGAGCACCACCGTAGCCTTGCAGAGGAAGGAAGAGACTGGGAAGACAGTGGAGAAGCTGATGTATTCACTAGTCCAAATACTTACCTTTATTTAGGTTTTTTTTGAACTGTCGTGTTTTCGTGGTGGCGTGGAGTGAAATGAAACAGCAGCTGCAGCGTGGAGTCGGTCAATCCGATGGCGGGGCTTGGCGATTCTGAAAGTGGTGCGAGGGAAGGGAGGCAGGGAGACGAGTGGGACAGGGCAAGTACTCAACGCGAGTAATACTCGCTGCACATTTGTAGTAGGGTAACTTGTGTAGCAAGGCAAACAAAAACGCCAGTCAGGTTGAAGCTGCGGCTAAGATGCAACGAGGATAGATGATGAAACAAGGGGTGGAAAAATGCGAACGGATGACGTCGGGTGGAGCCTGCATGAATTGGTGAACAGGCGAGTATTGTGAGGCGAGAGAGCAGAGCAGGGTGATGGAAGAGGATGACGGAGATGCAAGCTGAGTGAGGTCAGGTGAGGAGTGGAGGAAGATATGCACATCCCACTCCCACAATGGCCACCAAAATAGCCGATCTGCGCGGATCGGCAGTCGAAATCGACAATCTGCGCGAGTTTTCGGAAATAAACCACCGATCCGCGCGGATCGACGGTCGGAATGCGCCAATCTGCGCAGATTGACGGTCAACATTGCCAATCCGCGGAAAGCGGTGGGCTAAATTGCCGATTCCCACGGATGTAACGGCGGGGATTTAAACGAGGACATAGAAAAGGCAGGGATGTGTGATGGCGAAACTTGCAACAACTGCGAGGCCGCATAGTCACTGTGTCTTGGCAATGCAGCCTGACTGTGTACGCGAATAACGTTATTTTGCCCCAATAAGAGCATGAATGGTCACACAATCATTGTTTCTCAGCCTTTATGAATGATTAGTTAAAATCATCAGGTAAGGAGAAGCATGATAGAATGCGGGTAGGGATGGTGCGCGAGCCGAAATGAATGGAGTGACGGGACGGGACCGGCGTTACCTCAGGCCTGTTGTTAGGGTTTCGAAGATAGTAGAAGCGACGTGCTGAGAGACTCGCGCACACAGTTGGATCTGAGCTCCGCAATAGGCGCCGGCACGCAACGATATAATAATCGCAGTTGTTATCTCACTCGAGAAAAGGGCTTGAGGTTCTAGAAGCTAGGGCAGAGGTGAAACGAGCAAGATATCGTGAGGAAAGTGCAGAGGAATACTAGTGGTGCTCAGCGCTTCTGTGAAGCGAAGGTGGTTTTGAGCAGAAGAGCGTGTTCAGTACTCCATCAGAATGTCACCATTCGCACTCTTGCTCGTTGGGGTCATTCTGGGTTACCATACCCACCTCGTTCATTTTGTTGTACGAAACATCCGGGTGCCCATAAAGGCAGTAACCTGGATTTTGCACATCTCGTCATAAAAAACGATATATGGCGCTTCTGCAACAGTGTGGTAACTGCGACTGCCTTTGTGGAGTCTTGAAAGCAATGCAGTCTCTGGACGGGGTGCTAATATATAAAAAAACACCTGCTCGATAACCAATATTACCGACGGAGCTACCTATGTCCTCCACAAAATCATTCCCGATTTAGTACCTAGCCCTTATTCGCCAACAGCTAGATGTGCGCCACCAAGCATGGGTGTCGCTGTCCACGTATAGTGCCGTCTCCCACAATCGCGCTTCAGCTGTAAACGGCGATGCCGCCACGCGCTCCCAGAACTCGCCGTTTAGTTATTGGCCGCCATGCGCGAGCGAGGTCGGGATGCAGGCGATCGACGGGTGAGGCGAGCTGAAGTCGGAGGGAGCGAAGAGAGGTCGATGGGGCCGTGCGAGATCGGGATGCAGGCAATACGTGTCGCAACACCATTGGAAAGCCGTTTGCTCATGATCTAGTCGATGCGTGTATGTGTTTTGCCCTAGTGGCGGATTGAGCAACGGGATTGCGCGTCATCAGAGCATGACCTCCGGCGGTCGAATTGAGTGAAACGAAGGGTGAATGTCTGAACGGGGAAGCCTCTCTGCGATAGCGTGCTGATGGGATGCCATTCGCGATTGGATGACTACATGCTCGAGTCCACGTGTCCATGCACGGATCTTCATGTGGCAGTCCGCAGCAAAGGATGGCGTAGCGTGCCGTAGTATGCGTTGCTGTTTCTATTTGG